AACAAGAAGCACAACACCAGAACTGGAGGAAGAACAAATGGACCATATAGTCAAAACGTTATTCCCCACTCATACAAACAGTAAAGCGAGAACTTCTCCACCAATAGTAGAACAGATTGAACTCTTCACAGTGGACGAGCTACTGAAAGCGGCAAAAACCTTAAAAGGGAAGAAGGCTCCAGGGCCCGACAACATCCCAGCAGAGGTCCTCAAAGTGATCGCGGAGAGCAGACCCCAAATCCTGCTGGATATGTATAACGATTGCATTACCAGCGGGAAATTCCCCGACATCTGGAAGAGGCAACGATTAGTTCTCATAAGTAAGGGCAAAGGAGATCCCCTAACCCCATCAGCTTATCGACCACTATGTATGCTTGACACTACCGGGAAGCTACTAGAGAAAATGATTAAGCCACGCCTATCAGCAGCGATCGAAAGAGGTGGGGGTCTTTCACCGATGCAGTATGGCTTTAGGCCAGGCAGGTCGACCATTGGAGCAATCCAAGAAGTCGTCAACCAAGCGCTCAGCAGCCAACAAGGCAACCATTTCTCGAGGCCGGTAGTTCTCCTAGCAACACTGGATGTTAAAAACGCATTCAACAGCGTTAAATGGGACAACATAATTGATGCCTTGAAAAGACGATTCCAAATCTCAGGATACCTGATGCGGATAATACAGAGCTATCTTGAGAACCGACGACTACTGTACCAAACAAAAGCAGGAGAGAAATGTATAGAGATAACTTCAGGAGCGGCACAAGGATCAATACTTGGACCGGAGCTTTGGAACATCAGCTACGATGAAATTTTTCACCTAGACATCCCTGAGGGCACGACTATTGTGGGGTACGCGGACGACATAGTCGCAGTCATTACAGCTCGAAATACCGAGTACGCACAACGTATGTTGACGCAAGTAATGACACGCGTAAAAAGCTGGCTGAACTCACACGACCTGAAGCTGGCGGACGAAAAAACAGAGCTACTTTTAGTCAGCAGAAAAAGGATCCCTCTAGAAATAGACATGAGAGTTGGAGAGACTTTAATAAGGACGCAGAAGGTTATAAAGTACCTAGGAGTTAGACTGGACTCAAAATTGACATTCAATGCACACATACAAGAGACGAAGAAGCGGGCGACCGAGACTACAAAGGCGCTTAGCAGACTCATGGCAAACGTGGGCGGCCCCTTACAATCAAGGCGGAAACTCTTAATGGAGATAAATCACGCAATCATGCTGTACGGGTGTGAGGTCTGGGCAGGCACCCTTGAGGCAACCTGCAGGTCAAAACCTCTACTTGAGGTACAAAGAACCATGGCTCTACGAATAGCGAGTGCATATCGAACGGTATCCGGCCCTGCTGTACTAGTAATTGCAGGCGCCATACCAATCGACCTATTGGCCAAAGCGCGAAAACAAATATATATGAGGAGACAGGAAGGAGAGACGACAAGAGGCTTTATTGAGCGGACCAGAGAAGTAATTCTCCAACAATGGCAGGAAAGATGGGCAGCCGAAGCAAGGGGAAGATGGACAGCTAGACTGTTACCAAACCTGGTAGCTTGGTACGGAAGGAAACACGGAGATGTGGATTACTACGTCACGCAGATGCTGACAGGCCATGGCTACTTTGCCGCCTTTCTGCACTCTATAGGGAAAAGAACCAGCGCCAGATGCGTATATGGAGATGCGGAGATGGACAGTGCTGAACACACCATTTTCCACTGTAAGAAATTCGGACCTGCGCGGAACTGCCTGGAACAAGCTGTTGGGGCAATAAACCCAGAAAATATTGTCACGAAGATGATAGGCAGCGAAGACACGTGGAAACACATCGCAGGATTCGTGCAGAACATTCTCAGATCTAAGAAGCAAGATCTGGATGAATTAACTGGGTAATCTGGACGCAGAAAGAAGATGAGAGCGCATTGCGCTGAATTGGCGCCACCTTGAAGTAATGCGAAAGCTGTTCCGAGGTGGGAACACGGCCAAATGCGAGGGGGGGGTTTAGTGGGTGCGAGCCCCACATACCTTTTTTTTGCGACGGCAATAGGGAAGATGCGTTAGGCATTCCCCCTCCTCAACCCAAAAAAAAAAAAAAAACAAAAAAAAAAAAATTATTATTATTATTATTATATAATTATAATTTGCACATAAGACTCTGAAAGGTTTATGCAGTTCGAAGGATGTTCTACAGTGGCGCAACACTAATGGTATATAGGATCTAGTATTTCTACAAGGACTGACTCAACAAGTTAACAAGCTAAGGACCGTGTGTTCATTAAGAGGAGTCTATTTGAATAGAAAGGTAATCCGCGTAGGGCGAAAGGTAAAAAGTTATTTTGAACCGATTCAATGCGTTTACTATGGACGCCGTACTAAGGGCTCCAAACGCAGCATCCATATTTTAAGATAGGACAAACTAAGGAGGTATATAAGGATTTAGTTACATAGGGGTTATTGAATTCCTTCGACCGCCGTTTAATAAATCCAAGCACACCCCTAGCTCTATTTACCATAGACGAGATATGATCAATAAAGTCAAGTTTTGGGTCCAAGCGGACGCCCAAATCATCAACTGAATTAATTCTTTCTAAAGAACAGCAGTTCAGCGTGTAAGTAACAGCATAGGAACGACACGAGAGAATATCATTAGCTTGCATTTCGAGTCGTTTAAGTTTAATAAGTTTGCACTGCACCAAGTTTGAAAATTATTGAGATCTGTTCGTAAATCCGACTGGCAGGCGACATCATTGTATCGCACGTAAAGCTTGACGTCATCAGCGTACATAACCACTCTGGAGTTAGTTAAGACTTTGGGCAGGTAAACAATAGGGGTCCCAAATGGCTTCCTTGCGGGGCGCCATATAAGATAAACTAATTATAAAGAGGACCTTTGGCGTCCTGCCATTTAGATAACTTGAGATCCTATTAAGAAGATCTTTTGGAAAACCCATTAAATCGAGTTTTCTTACGAGGAGAGGATGGAGTCTGGCTGGACGGTCAGATATATTCTGTACGTCTGACCCCATATCAAGAGTCACATCGAAAGTTGGATGATACGGATCTTAAGGCTGCGTTAGAGGCGCCACCCTAGCTAAACTGACTCTCGCAGGATCAGAGGCGAAACAAAGATCGAACCAGTGCTGTAAGGAATTTCGCACATGGTTGACGAGAGGTCGAACAAGCCAGCGATAAAGTCATGTTGTGTAGAAGTAAGGAGAGTATTGGAGGAATTATTAGAGCACCAAATAGCACCAGGGATATTAAAACACCTAGGACTATCAACTGGTCTCTATCTAAAAGTTTACTGGAAACCATCTGAATAGGAGAAAGGTGATTCCAATAAATATGAAGTTCAAACAATGGAGGTATTTAGGAACAGGTAACAAAAATGGAGCTACAATTGATAATAAGCTTGAAGCAAAGGAATTCAACATCGTTGCATTCCTCGAAGGTTAATAATTCGGACGTAAGTGAGGAGTCCACTGCTATAAGAACTTAACCCCGCGCTTGATAGGGTGATCTTGCCGATATTCTGTGAACACACAGCTGGAAAAACTTCGGAGCTCAGAATCTCCGGCTTTAACCAGGTTTGTGTGAGCACAATATCCTGAGATGCAAACGAAAGGCTATCAGAATACAAGTTAGGAAGCTTACTACGTAAGCCTCTTGCATTCTGATAGGAAAGACCTAGGGATTACGTTAGTTTTTTGGGTCGGGATTGGAAGACGTAGAAGGCGCAGTGGTTTGATCAGGCCTTGGAAGAGTTCTTCCTACAGGCCGTTTTTTCTTTTTCTTTGCTTCGAACTCTTTAGCAACAACGTACTCTGGCCAGAAGTTGGTAGAGCAAATAGTGTTAAAGAGTTCGTTAAGGACATTTCCGACCATATAAAGTATATATATTCTTGATCAGGATCAACAGCCGAGTCGATCTAGCCATGTCCGTCTGTCCGTCTATTTGTTTTATATTTGTAAGATCCGGCTTATTTCCCAGTGATCAAAGTTTCATTCAGATGGCTTTAAAACAGAGAGACTAAACTTCTGACTAAAACTATAATTCTCTGGAAGGGAATAAAAATGAACGTTTTTATAGATTTTCACTCCCGCTCCCTGAAGTCTAACTATTACTATGGGCTTACTCCCTCCAAATTTCAAGTTTATATTTAAACTTTACGACTGCTGTTGAATTTAGTTAAATGTTACATTGTACGTACTAGATGATATCGAAATCGAGATATCTACATATGTATACAAGTTCAGCAGGAAGCATATGCAATCAAGATTGAGTCATTCAAATTGATAAAGTTAAGTTATCATGTCGACCTTTCACTTTTATCGACTATCTTTTACATAGCAGGTCAAATTATTAAGCATCGTATCTTTCGATCTCAACATTCTGCTTTAAAAAGACTTAGTTACTACCGTAAATGAATGCACTCTTCAGGGAATGCATTAATTGTTTGACTGCCCCCGACAGCCTAAAACCGGAAGGTGTTGGCAAAGACTAAATCAATAGCATCCCGAACAGTTCCGGGCTCAGTTTTTGACAGTGGTTCGGGTCTTAGAGATTAGATTTATTTGCTCTCCTTAGTTTTATTAATTTATTAATCGCCACGCTATTTTGAATAAAAATCTTATCACGACAACCTGACCATGTTGATTTTAATTACAAATTAAATGTCGATTTCGGGAGTAATTTTTTACAGTTATTCCAAAATTGGTCTAAATTTTAAAACAAGTAATAAAATCGCATTAATTAACCAGCTTTTTAAATATTTCCATAAGTTTTAAAAAACTTAATTTTAAACCAAATATGTAATCGTTTCGTGATAATCTTGATGTGTTAAGCTTCACTGGCAGGTGAAAGTTCAACAAACTGCCGAGCTTACAAAAAATACTTATAAGCCTACTGATACATTACCAGGTCTTTTATAAGCTTAGCAGTCATTTAAGCACTTAATCGGTATATCAGCTTGGTTGCATAAAGACAGCTTACCTTAATTGGCCTAAGGCGCAAAAAAAAAGGAGCGCCTCCGAGGGGTTGCAGAGGTACAGCCGGTTCCGGGGTAACCTGCTGCACAGGTCGCGGTGGCTTCAATGCTAACTTCTTGAGGCTGGCTATACGCTTATCGCACATTAAAGATACATCGTCAATTCGCTGTAGTACCTAAACGAATATATAGAATATATATAGTTACGCAACTGGTTTCCAAAACAAGCAAGCTTCGTTCGAAGTTTTAATATAGTTTACAATTTGCCCCAACTGCTCCAACTGTAGGTGAATAATCTTGTATCTAAATCACGAATATATGTTGAACATATACATAGAAATTCTATATATATATATATATATATATATATATATATATATATATATATATATATATATATATATATATATATATGGGGTATATTCATTGCGTTTCAAACTTTTAATTTAAATTAGAATACCCTGCAGCGTAAGCTTTGTCGTCCTTTTCCCCCAGATGGTTATTTATTTATTTACTCCTATAGTAAATTACAGTATTTAACAGTATAACTGTATACAACTGCAGAATACTGCAACCATTCCAGTATACAGTACTCATATTGTTCAATAATTAAAATTCAAATTACCACAAAAAAAGACAATAATTATTTTAAAAATTAAAATTATTATTCTTTGGGTTTTCTTATAATTATTTTAATTCCTTATTATTATTTTAATAAATAAACAAAGATTAAATATAAATTTTAATTATATATATATGGAGTATCTTAATAATATTTTAGCTTTATATACACATATCTTTCCTATATTATGTACATGGGGGTTTAAAAATTTAATTTAACAAGGCATTCACTGTGTTTCAAACTTTTAATTTAAATTAGAATACCCTGCAGCGTAAGCTTTGACGTCTTTTTCCCCCAGATGGTTATTTATTTATTTATTCCTATAGTAAATTACAGTATTTAACAGTATAACTATTTAAAACTGCAGAATACTGCAACCATTCCAGTATACAGTACTCATATTGTTCAATAATTAAAATTCAAATTACCACAAAAAAAGACAATAATTATTTTAAAAATTAAAATTATTATTCTTTGGGTTTTCTTATAATTATTTTAACTACTTATTATTATTTTAATAAATAAACAAAGCTTAAATATATATTTTAATTATATATATATGGAGTATCTTAATAATATTGTAACGAATTTTCTCTGTCGTGATTGTTGTTGGGCCACAGGCAGAGTTCATTACGGAAAGCCGAGCGGAACTTTTTATTAGGTGTGGCTGCCTAGAACCCGGTCTGACCCACTCACTACACTTGGCCCCATGTGGAAAGGTGGTTATTACTTAGCTTTTCTTTATTGGTGATCAGACGCGTGCTTTTCCGGACACGTCCGTAAGAAGAAGAGAAGGAAATCGAGAGCGCTTAGAGAGACCAGGCATCCTGGCTGTCAAAAGCTCTCATAATTGCGCCTATAAGGGATTTCGCGGTTTCTCGCGTTGCCAACGGTTACAAATATCGCGGATTATTCTAATCTAGCGGTTTTCGTTACATTAACCCCCTCTCAGACGCGAGCCTCCTGGCCGAGTAATTCGGGATTCGGATCCCGATAGGGTGACAGGCGGTTGACATGAACGGTCCTAGTGGTACGCTTTCTCGGTAAGCGGATCTCGTACACTAGGTCAGAGTGACGTCGGATGACGGTGGCGGGTCCAATCCAATTCGACTGCAACTTAGGGCATCGTCCTACCCTTCGGGTAGGAGCGTATAGCCATACTTCTTCTCCAACGACGAACTCCACTGGGTGCGATCGAAGGTCATAGCGTAACTTGTTGACGTTGGCGGCCGCAATTAAATGTCGTCGTCCGAGCTGCTGCGTTTGTCGGAGACGGTGGTGGGTAACTTCCCGGATTCGGGGACGGTCGCCCATACAACAATTCGCCTGGTAGCCTGAGTTCACGTCCCAGGGTCAGTAGTGACGGCGAGAACCCAGTCGCCTCATGTGGCGCCGATCGATAGGCCCACAGAGCTAGCGGCAACAATTGGTCCCAATCGCGTTGATCTGCGGCAACAAATTTCGCCAGATAGTCCAGGAGAGTTCGGTTAAACCTCTCAACCATTCCGTCTGATTGAGGGTGCAACGGCGTCGTACGAGTCTTTTCCACATCAAGCAGGCGCAGGCAAGCTTGGAATATTTCTGACTCAAAGTTTTGGCCTTGATCCGAGTGAAGGATAAAGGGGACACCAAATCGGAAAAAGACTTCTTGCACTAGCGCTCGGGCTACCGTTTCAGCCGTTTGATTAGGCAGCGCTATGTATTCCGGCCATTTGGTGAAGTAGCACATCACTACGGCGATGTAGCGGTTTCCTAGTGCTGTAGTGGGCAGCGGACCCAGTATGTCGATTGCAAGTCGCTCGAATGGAGCGCCTAGAACTTTGGGTTGCAGTTGGCCTACCGTTCGACGAGTAGGTCCTCTTCTGGCATTGCATTCCGTACAGCGGGCGCACCAAATGGCTACGTCGGCTGTTTGTCCAATCCAAAAGTAGCGTTTCTTCAACTTGGCAACTGTCTTCTTGATGCCAAAATGTCCACCGGTCGTGGAGTTATGGGCGCTACGAATGGCTCCTTCCTGAAGAGAGCGAGGAACTACCAGAGCTGGGTCGGCTGTTTTGGTAGTAATCATCAACAGGCCTTTATCCATGAAGAGCTGTTCGAACAAATGCCAATACGCTTTTACTTCGGGGCTTTCACTCCATGTTGCAGGTTTTGCTGGTCGCTCTCCCTTCTCTACCCATTGTAAAATCAATCCAAGGGGACCTTTTCCTGGCTGCGAGCGATGTCGAGTGGTTGAGTCTGCAGAAAGAGGATCTCGTGACCATCGTTTTGCTCGGCCCTGGTACATACGCGGCAGTCACCGCAGGGTCGACGAGACAAGGCGTCGGCATTTCCATGTTGCTCTCCGCTGCGGTGCTGGATGTCCATGTCATACTGTTGGAGTCTTTCAATCCATCGAGCTAGTTGTCCTTCAGGCTCCCGGAAGTTAAACAGCCATCGGAGACATGAGTGATCCGTGCGCAGTAGGAATCTCCGGCCATATAGGTAGTGGTGGAAATGATTCGTAGCCAAAACAACGGCTAGCAGCTCTCGTCTAGTTACACAGTAGTTGCGCTCCGCAGCGCTAAACGACTTGCTGTAATACTCCAATACACGCTCCTGGCCGTCTTGCCGTTGTCCGAGCACCGCCCCGGCACCGTGGTTTGACGCGTCGGCATCCACGATGAATATCCCATCGGGAGCGGGAAACGTTAGCACCGGGGGCGTGGTTAGTTTGATTTTGAGCGCCTCGAAGGCGCCGTGAGCGGCTGTTGACCATGTGAAGGAGCGCTTAGCTTCCGTTAGGTCATGTAAAGGGCGCGATAATAAGAACATAGCCCCACAAAGGAACGCACTTCCTTTTTGTTTCGAGATGGTGGCCAATCGACGACTTTTCGAACCTTCTCTGGGCACGCTTTTAAGCCCTTGCGGCTGACAATGTGACCCAGATAGTTAACCTCGGTCCTTGCTGCAAGTGGTCCAGGTGTTGCTCGGCGGTACGAGAATGTACTATGATGTCGTCGAGGTACACCAGGGTGAATTTCCTTGTAGAACCGGAGAACAATCCGTCCATCAATCTCTCAAAGGTGGCTGGCGCGTTGGTCAAGCCAAACGGCATTACGTTGAATTCGAACAGACCAGCGTCACACGTAAACGCGGTCTTAGGTCTAGAGTCTTCGTCCATCTCCACTTGCCAGTAGCCGCTCTGGAGGTCCATGGTAGAGAACCAGCAGGCTCCGTGCATAGTGGCGAGGATGTCGTCCATTCTCGGTAGAGGGTATGAATCTTTGACGGTGATGTCGTTCAGACGTCGATAATCCACACAGAACCGTGTGGAACCATCCTTTTTCTTTACTAGGACAACCGGCGAGGCCAATGGGCTGGTGGACGGCCGAATTATGCCTCTAGTCGGCGACGAGCTGCTCTACCTCGTCCTTTCTTGCCATCGCTATGCGACGCACTGGTTGTTTAATGGGTCGAGATTGACCCGTGTCTATGACATGCCGTGTTAAATCGGTATGTCCTGAATCATCGTCGTTTCTGGCAAACACCCGAGGGAAGCGGCCGATCAGTGCCGTCCATTTTGGGTGAAGGTGGGCCGGCAAATCCGGGGGCACCTCTGCGTGGGAGGATGCTCCGGCCCCGTCTACTTCTGGGATCGAGGTGGGCATGGGTTCCACGGGCTCCACCTGTCCCACTATCATCTGCGCGGGTAGCAGGTATTCTTGTGCGCTAAGGTTCACTAGGTGCAGGGTGTTGGTGTCGTTGGAGGTGTCCACCAAAGTGCTGCCTAGTAGAACAAGGGGTGACAGTTGAGAACTTTTCCCACGTTCCAGCAAAGCCAGAGGAAGCAGTTTTTCCGACCTGCATCGCACTGCTACGTGGGTGTCGCTATGTGGCGGGATACTGGTGGGTGCAGTCGAATAAAGCAAATTTCGATGCTGGGTATCCGGGGCATATAGCGGCAGAGATCCCCACGGGAGTCGTAACTGAAGATCCTTTAGATCCACGGTGGCCTCATGGTGCAGAAGAAAGTCCATACCCAAGAGGCTAGGAGTGCTGCCCTCCACCAGTAGGAATTCGTGGGTGACCGGCCTTCCGGCAATTTCCAGTCTGGCGTTGACTCGAGCGGTGGCCACGAATTACTCTGCCGAGGGTCCTTGAAGAGTCACTCGGCACGGTGTGCTCGGCAGTCGTTCGGGTAGAACGCTACCATTTGGTAAGGAGACAGCGGCACCGGTGTCGACGATGAGGCGAACCGGATGCTTCTGTAAAAACATCAAACAATGTAAATATGGGCCACTAGCGGCACTACACATATACGTAGCTTGACTGGGGGAGGCTGGATCCCGCGAAGCTCAGGGTCAGGATTTCCAGGTTTCCTCCGGTTGGGTGGTGGTTCTTCAGGTGGGCGTTCGGCAAACAAACGGCTCAAGATGGAGTCCACATGGGTCAGGTCCGAATCCTCTTCCTCGGCTGGCGGCGGAGATACTGTTCCATAGTACTCGGCAGCGGTCGTATTTCGGATCGAAGTCCTTGGGCAGAACGGCGGGCGGAAGGCGGTCTCGCCTGGCC